AGGGGTGCAGGCTGCTGTTGATGGAGTAACTGTGTTCACTCACCACCACCTTGATGTGTTTGGCTAAATCTTTGGAGCTTCCCATCAGGAAATCTGAGAACGCCGTCTAGAGAGAGAGAGAGAGAGAGAGAGACAGGGGGAAAGGGGGGAAGAGAGAGTTACACGGGTCACCAGCCTGGGGGGGGTAGGTGGGGGGTGGGGGGTGAGGGCAGCCAAGTCTCGGGGGGGGGATCGGGGGCAATGTTACTCACCCCGGCATAGAACATTTTATTCTTAAAGCGGCTGTTGAACTTCTCCGGCTTGGCTTCTGCAACACAGACCGGGGGGTTAGCCCCGCTCCACTCGCCTCAAAATCCACCCTCCCGCCCCGATCCCCCCCCACCACCCCCACCGACCCCCCCACAGCAACCCCTTCCCTCCCCCGGGAACGAACCTCTGGATTCGTGGAATTCCAGTGTGACGTGAGCATCGAAACCGAGGCTGAAATAGTTGTTGAAGACGTCGAGGGGAAGCTGCGGAGAGGGGGGGGGGTGCACGTAGCAACTGTCGTCAGCAAACATTACCCCACGGTCAATACCCCCCCCCCCCACCACGGGGAGTCACTGTCCCACCACACACATCCCGGCTCCCGCAGGGATACACATCCCCCCCACCTTCAACTTGCTCCCCAGCCCACTCTCTATTCCCTGTGCAACTGCCTTGCTCCCCCCTCCCCTCTCCCCTGTTGCTCCCCCTCTCCCCTCACGCCCTACCCTCACTCCGACCCTTCCCCTCCCCTCACTCCCCCTCTCCCCTCGGTTCTCCCGACCTCTCCCTCGCCCCCATTGCTACCCTCCGCCCCCACCCCCCCCCTCCACCTCTCCAACTGCCTTGCTCCCCTCTCACCCCCTCACTCACTCCTCGCTCTCCCTCCCCACTCACCCCCCTCACTCACTGCCCCGGGACCCGCCTCCCCCTCCCTCTCCTCGCCGGACACACCTTCTCTGCGGCCGGCTCGTCTCTCTCCTCGGGGGTGGCCTCTCCGTTCCTCTCCTGCTGCAGTGTCCAGCGATCCAACTGCACAATGTTCCCGTCCTCCACGTGGGACAGGATCTTTGTCACCGGCTCGTCAGTGTAGCCCTGAACCCCCCCCACCCCCAAAGAGAGAGAGAAGAAGAGTGGGGAGGGGGGGGGGAGAGAGAGAGAGGTGGGGAAGAGAAACAGGGGGAGAGACATAGTGAAGAAAGAGAGCGAGAGAGGGGAGTAGAGAAGGGGCAAAAGAAAGTGGGGGAGATGGAGAGCAGGGGGGGAGAGGGGGGGGGGGAGCAATAAAGGGCGAGGCAGAGATGCAAAGAGAGAGAGACAGGCCGACAGAGAGGGAGAGAGTGACACATAGATAGAGGGGAGAGAGGGACATAGAGAGAGAGAGAGAGAGGTTAATATACGTCTGCGCGCAATTGGCTGCCGCGTTTCGCCCACAAAATGCACAGTCACCCCACTTTACAGTGTATCCTGTGAAGCGCTTTGAGACGTGTTGGAGACGTGATGGGGCGCTGGGTCAAATGCACGGATTATTATTATAATTATTATTGTTTTGCCCTGTGTTCCCCCGGGGTTTGCCGGCTGGCGCAGGTTGCGGGCCGGGGTGGGGGTGTGGTCGATGGTCCGGGACACTCACCCCGCCCCAGTTGAGGGTCCTGGCCAGGTCGTTCCCGGTGCCCAGGGGAAGCACAGCTACGGGGGGCTGCGGGTTCATCTTTAGTTGGTCCAAAATCGACAGAATCCACCCCACCTGCACACAGGGCAATCGGGGGTTAAATCACAGGGTAACCGTGAGAGGTTAATAGTTAACAGGTGGAGGGGGGAGGAGCTTGGGGCAGGGGAGGAGCTCAGGGGGGGGGGGGGGAGCAGCTCGGGGGGGGGGGGGGGGAGCAGCTCGGGGGGGAGAGCAGCTCGGGGCGGGGGGGGGGGGGAGAGCATCTCGGGGCGGGGGGGGGGAGAGCAGCTCGGGGCGGGGGGGAGAGCAGCTCGGGGCGGGAGGGGGGGGAGAGCAGCTCGGGGCGGGGCGGGGGGGGGAGAGCAGCTCGGGGCGGGGGCGGGGAGGGGGGAGAGCAGCTCGGGGCGGGGCGGAGCGGGGGGGGAGAGCAGCTCGGGGCGGGGGCGGGGAGGGGGGAGAGCAGCTCGGGGCGGGGCGGGGCAGGGCGGGGCGGGGGGGTCAGCACACACTCACCGTGCCGTCCCCCCCACAGGCCAGGATCCGCAGGTTCTGAACCTTGCGATACAGCTCCAGCCTGAAACAGCACACGGCAGCCCTCAGCCACACAGCCCGAGACCCCCCGCCCCCCCCCACCCCTGCCCCCCGCCCCGCCCCACCCCTGCCCCCCCACACTGATAACAGCCCCGCCCCTCATACCAGGGCACCGCGCCCTTTGGACAATGCCCCGCCCCTTAGAAAGCCCCACCCCTCACCACAAGAGGCGGAGCCTGAGAGCCACTACTTTCTATGCGACGACGTTTCCGTTTCTTCCCCCCCCCCTCCCCACCCCCCGGAGAGATATCCCCCCCCACCCTATCTCCGCCCTGTCCCCCCCACCCTATCTCCGCCCCGTCCCCCCCACCCTATCCTCGCCCCGTCCCCCCCACCCTATCCCCGCCCCGCATATCCCCACCCTGCCCCCGCCCCCCGCGCCCCCCAGCCCCCCCCCAGCCTGGGTTACTCACGCCTCCTTGGGGCCGCCCTGTGTCAGGTCAAACACCTGCCGCGGGTTCAGGTACCACATGAAGGACTGGATGATCTTCGATCCCTGCCACACAACCAGAGTCACCGACCACATCCCGCTAAACACCCTCCCCCCCCCCAACCCCACCCCCCACAACAACAACAACAACGCACTCTCGCACTGCGAGGGGCGCTGGGTGTGTGCGTTTAGGGGTGGTGTGGGGAGAGGCTTTGTGTGTATGGGGACGGGGGATAGGAGGTAGGGGACACTCCGCGTGTGTTTGTGTGTGTAAAAACTTATATAGCGTAGCTTCACGGTGGTGGGTTGGGGGTGGGGGGTGTGCGAAATATTGGGCAAGTTTCCTTACTCCACACACACGCCTGATAATAATCCCTCAAGAAATAAAATGATACTAATCTGGTCACTTCGGTCCACGGCTGTTTGTGGGGACGGCTGCCGGGAGGAATTGGCTGCCGCGTTTCGCCCACAAAAACATACAGTCGATCCACTTCACGGCGTCTCCCGTGAAGCGCTTCGAGACTGGTCTCGAAGACGAGATCAGGCGCTGGCATCAAATTTGAGGATCGTTATTCTTATTCACTATTAATTGGTGGTTTTGTTGCTTTTGGGGGTGAGGCCGCGATACGGAATCTCTCTCACCCAATTTTTTTTAATGAAAAATCTCCCACAGCGCGTCTCGTCGTTACAATCCTCCAGTATTTCGTACCTTTGTGCCGTTTGCGACAGAAGGTTTTCCGAAAAGATGTTCTATTCAAAGTTTTGATCTTGTTTTTTTAATATCGGTGAACAAACCCGAATCCGTCCACCCGAAGCCGAGGAAAATTAGGGGCAGGAAGGAATTTAAGAAGGAGTGGGAGGGTCTTGAAGTCGATCCGTTCGGCGATTGGGAGCCAGCGGAGCCTGGCGAGGGCTGCAGATGTGGGCGTGGGGGGGGGGGTGGTGGTGGGAAGGGGGTACACACCTGATTGCCCCCGCTCTTGGGGTTGACGAACACCAGCAACGGCTTCATGAGGGGTGACGGCACCGGCTTGATTATAAACGGCTTCCAGCGTCCGTCCTGAGAGAGAGAGAAAGAGACAGTCATAGAGGGTCACAGAGAAAGAGAGAGAGAGAGAGAGATAGAGGAGAACCAAGAGGATCCACCAGAGGATCCACCATAATCAGCTCTCATCAACCGCTCCAGAAAATGAGCGATGTGTCTATATATGTGTGCGCGTAGAGTTGTGTTGTGTGTATAGTGTGCGTAGTGTGTGTGTATAGTGTGTGTAGTGTGTGTGTTTAGTATGTACGTGTATAGTGTGTGTGTGTACAGTGAACAAACTCTAATCAATTCCGCCCAAGGCCAAGAAAAATTAGAGGGAACGCAGGTCCCAACGTGAAAGGCGCTAAACAAATGTAATCGTATTGTTGGTTGCAGAGTGTGAGTATGGTGTGGGTGTATAGAGTGTGTGTGTAGTGTGTGCGTGTAGTGTGTGTGTAGCGTGTGTGTACATAGAGTGTGTGTGTTCTGTGTGTGTAGTCTGTGCGTATAGAGTGTGTGTAGTGTGCGCGTATAGTGTGTGTGCGCACATAGAGTGTGTGTAGTGTGTGTGTAGTGTGGGCAGTGTCTCACAGTGACTTACCTCTCCCTTTTTACTGGATTTCCTTTTAAACGAGGTTCGTTTTTTCTTTTTACTGGATTTCAGCGAGGTCTGTGCGGATGGGAGCGGGGGGTTTGTGGGGGCGGGGGGAGAGAGAAGAGAAACAGTCAGTCAGCGTGAAGTGTGGGGGGTGGGGGAGGAAACACGGGACATATATCACGAGGAAATCAGGGGAAATCAACAACGACAACTTGCATCGACTTCGCGATTGAAGAGGAGGGTCTTGAGACGTAGCCTTGAAGGAGGTGAGGGAGGGATCGAGGCCGAGGGACTGTGGGACCGAGGGAGGGGGGCTGGGGTTGGAGGTTTTACCTGCGCACGTCTGACACGGAGGATCCAGGTGGGGGGGACGATGACAGCAGCGTGAGCCCCCAGCGTGCAGGGTTCCTCGATCTGTTGCAGCATGAAACACGTCACCTTATTGTGATACTGCGGAGAAATAATAATAATCATCATCATCATCATCATCCTCGCATTTGACATAGCGTCTTATCATATCTTCGAGACGTCTCAAAGCGTTTCGAGAGAGAGAGAGAGAGAGAGAGAAAGCGCACGAAAAACAGCGTTAGTGGGAGTGAGAGAAAGAGAGAGGGGGTATGTTAGAGCGTGAGAAAATTTGTATGTGTGTGAGAGACAGTGAGTTTGTGAGAGAGTGAGAGAGTGAGTCTGTGTGAGAGAGTGAGTGTGTGAGTGAGAGAAAGTGTGTGACAGAGTGAGAGAGTGTGTGAGAGAGTGAGAGAGTGAGTGTGTGTGAGAGAGTGAGTGAGAGTGTGTGAGAGTGAGTAATAATAATAATAATCCTTGCATTTGATACAGTGCCTTATTACGTCTTCGAGACGTCCAAAAGCGCTTCACAGAATGTACTGTAAAGTGAATTGACGGTATATTTGTGGGCGAACGCGGCAGCCAATTGTGCACAGCAATGTCCAGTGAGAGAGTGAGTGTGTGTGAGAGACTGAGAGTGAGTGTGTGTGAGAGAGAGTGTGTGTCTGAGAGAGTGAGTGAGAGTGTGAGAGTGAGTGAGTGTGTGAGAATGAGTGAGAGTGAGTGTGTGAGTTTGAGTGAGAGAGTGAGTGTGTGTGAGAGTGAGAGAGTGAGTGTGTGTGAGCGAGAGAGTGAGTGAGTTTGTGAGAGAGAGAGAAGAGAGTACGAGAAACAGTGTGAGTGAGAGACAGTTGGGAATCCGATAAAGAGCGAGAGGGTGTGTGAGAGTGCGAGAAAGTTTGTATGTGTGAGAGAGAGAGGGTGTGTGTGAGAGAGAATGAGAGAAATAGTGTCGGAAAAGAGAGGAGGGTGTGTGAGAGTGAGAGAGTGTGTGTTTAAGAGAGAGACAGTGTGTGAGAGTGTGCGAGAGATCCAGAAAGATAGTGTGAGTGAGAGTGAGAGAAAGAAAGTGAGAGTCTGCATGAAAGAAAGACTGAGAGAGAGACAGAGAAAGAGAGACTGTGTGAGAGCACAGCGGGGAGCAGAGGGGCAGTGTGTGAGAGGGAGAGAGAGAGAGGCGGACAGAGAGACGGACAGAGAGACTGAGAGAGAGAGAGCGAGAGAGAGAGAGAGAGAGCGAGAGAGAGAGTGCAAGAGCACAGTGAGGAGAGGAGCAAAGAGAGAATGTGTGAGAGGCGGAGAGAGAGAGAGAGAGGGAGGGGGGGAGAGAGAAAGAGAGAGGGGGGGGAGAGAGAGAGAGAGAGAGAGAGAGAGGGGAGAGAGAGAGGGACAGTGATGGTCAGTGGGACACTCACTGCTTGTTTACACCAGGAGCAGCTGATGGCGACGATCTCCTTGCTGTGAAAGGCAAACTTCTGCTGGAAACCCTGAGGGCAGCCGAGCACAGACACGTTACACGCGCACACGTCACACACACGGGCTTGTATGACAGCCTCAGCCTGTGTGTTAGTCCTCTGCAGCGGCTGTCACCACATGCGAACAGCGTGTAACAGCGTGTGGATGTTGCGTGGCAGTGTGTGACTGGTGTGCAGCGGGTCGCTGGTGTGGAGATGACACGTGAAGTGTGTGGATGGCGTGTGTGAGTGTATGTGTATGAGTGTATGAGTGGTCTGTAGATGGCATGTGCGACTGGCCGTGTAGATGGTATGTGGCAGCGTGTGACTCGTCTAGATGGCGTGTGGCGATGGGTGACTGGCCGTGTAATGGCGTGTGGCGATGGGTGACTGGCCGTGTAGATGGTGTGTGGCAGCGTGTGACTCGTGTAGATGGCGTGTGGCGATGGGTGACTGGCCGTGTAATGGCGTGTGGCAGCATGTGACTGGCCGGGTAGATGTCGTGTGGCGATGGGTGACTGGCGTGTGTAGACTCGTACCTTGCCACACTGCTTGCACTTGCCCTCCTGCCTCCTGCGATGAACCCAGTGATGCCGAACGAAGGTTGGCTGACGGGAGAGAAACAGCGGCGGGTGAGAGGGCGACGGGAACTCCGCAAACACCGACCCTCCCACCCTCTCCGACCTCCTCACTCCCCAATCCACCGCTCGACTGGCACCGGCCTCCTGCTCGTCCCTCGCACCCTCCGCCCCACCATCGGAGTTCGCGTTTCCAGCCAATGCACCCCGAAACTCTGGACCACTCTCCCTCAACCCCTCCGCCTTTCTCCCCCTCTCTCCCCTCTCTCAAGTCCCGTCTGAAAACCTTCCTCTTCGACCCACCTGTCCAGTCGCTCTCCGCAGGCCATTTCCAGCCCTGAACCCTGGCTCGACCCTGCCCCTACCCCCAGCACTGCCCGCACGCTGCCACCTATACGCCACCCACCCACCACTCACTCACCATCCACACGCCATCCACACACCAGTCACGCACTAGCACGACCACACGCCATCTACATGCCAATCACACGCCCACCGTCCTCACACCAGCCGCACTTACCTCTCGCATGTTGCGTGACCCCGACTCCCGAAACGTTGGTTTGCATCGGAAGTTTATCTGGAAAGGGAAACGTGAAATGAGTTTATTCCGGCTTTCACTCTTGGGATCACAAGGTCGGTTCGGATGACAAAGCCCCTTTGGCTCTTCCCCATCTCATCCCCTCCAGATCTCCCACCCGACTCTCCCCCATCACACCATCCAGACACTTTTGAAACGAGTCCCAGTGTTCCTGACCTCAACCTCCCTCCCAAGTCACTCTGTTCCAGTTGTTGATCACCCACATATATATATTTAGAGAGAGAGAGAGTGAACAGAGAGAGAGGGTGAGGGACAGTGAGAAAGAGATAGAGATAGAGAGAGAGAGAGAGAGAGAGAGAGAGAGAGAGAAAACGACAGAAAGACACACAGAGAGACAGATGTGTCAGAGCTAGAGAGGGTTTAGAGAGAGTGCGTGCACGCGAGAGAACGAGCGCGAGAGAGAGAGCGAGTGTGAGAGAGAGAGAGAGAGAGAGAGAGAGAGGGAGAGCAAGGAGTGGGCAACGTAGATGGAGGCAGGTTGCGGCCGGTGCCCTGGAAACCGTAGCTGACCATTGAGGAGATTGGAAGAGACGTACTTTTTCCAAGTGCTCGATGCACGCGGTGTGAACCACGATCTTACAGGCGGCGCACTTCTTCCTGGACACCGACTTTTGCTGGAGAGAGAGAGAGAGAGAGAGAGAAAGAGAGAGTGAGAGAGCAGTGTCGTCCTAAAGAAGTCCTGCGACACCCACACAGGGAGCCGGAGTGGTCCTGATGAGGGTGACATGTGCGCCATCGGCCACCAGACGGCAGCATTAGCCTGCAGTACAGTCTGCGGCACAGTCACCCCCAATCTACCCGTTTCTCTTCCCCAGCGATGTCTTCTTTTGGGGCGCGCGGAGTTGGGGAGGGGTCTAAGCGGGGTCTGCTCGGTGCTGAACTGGCTCCAAGGTGACCTGCCTGGCAATGGGATACCAGAATCGAGCCATCCCTCTCTGTGATGGTCTCTCTCTCTCTCTCTAGTCCGGTTCCTGAGCCAGAAGGGTCCACGGTATGCCAGGAAACTCACTGCTGATGGCAGCCCAGCCCGGCCTGGCTCATCGGCAGGACCTGGAAGGGCCGACCAGATACTTGGGGTAGGGAATCCTCCCCCTCAGCTCCTGTTAACCCTGCAGCCAAAGCCCTAATGGGTAGCGTGGTCCTAGCCGGACAAGCAGCGGGAAAGCTGGCGAGACACAGCTCTCAATGGGCAAGCCACGCAGTTTTAGTTGGTTAGACCCCACCAGTTACCCCAACGCGCATTCTGAGATGCCCCCAAACCTTGGCTCTTTCCAACCTGCGCCTAATACTTGCCGGAATTAGGTAAGCAGGAGGCGTCCCTCCAGAGAGAGAGAGAGAGAGCGTATTCTATTCCAACAATCTATCTCTGTGATTTCCATGTGTAGGTGCGATCCGTGAAAATCTCTTAAGAAACGGTGATGGGTTTCCGCATGTGACAGACACTCGGCTGACCAAAGAAAAAAAACTTGTGCTGGGAACTCAGGGAAGAGAATCATTCATCTACACTCCACACTCTCCCTCTAATCCGTCCTTCTGATCAGACGTTAAACCAAATTTGTGTCTCTACAAGATTACAGGTGGACGTTAAGGATTCCGCGGTGCTATCTGAAGAGAAAAGGGAGTTTCTCTCTCGGGCTCCCGGTGGTCTGGCCAGCGAGCCACCCAGATAAAATCGTTAGTTCACTCCACGGCTGTTTGGGGGACGTTGTTGTGTGTGACGTTCAGTAGACACCCCTCTGATCCCGTCCTCAACCAACATCCAGACACCTCCTCCAGCCATGGAGGGAAGGGGGAGGGAGGCGGAGGAGGGGAGCTGGGGGGAAGGGGGGAACATTGGATCTGGGCACGAACCCTGGCCCTTTCTTCCTCCTTGTTCAGCCCAGTGACGCCGAGAGCAATGGTGGTCCCAGCACAGAGCGACCCCTCATAGGAACAGGAGGCGGCCATTTCTCAGCCTGTTCCACCTTTCTAAAATCAGGACTGATCTGGACCTCAACTCCATTTACCCGCCTTTGCCCCATATCCCTCTGATCTGACAAACACCTCTCCACCTCAGTCGCGAAGATGTGAATGGATCCAGTCATAATCCACAGCTTCTTGAGGGAAGAGAGAGTTTTCCAGATTGCCACTCTCCCACCACCCTCTCCCACCCCCCCCCCCCCCACCACCCCACTCACCAGGATTTTGGCCACGCAGTTCTGTTCCCCGGTGTAACAGAAATCACCGGACACGTTGGTCTCAAACCAGATGTGGTCACCGTACAGAGCGTTCTCCTGGAGAGAGAGAGACAACCAACTATTATTATTGAATCAATAATAATAATCCTTGCATTCGATACAGCGCCTTATCACGTCTTCGAGACGTCTCAAAGCGCTTCACGGGATACACTATAAAGTGAATTGACTGGATTGTGTGGGCGAAACGCAAAATCCAATTGCGCGCGGCAGCGTCCCACAAACAGTCATGGATTGAGTGACCAAATTATTATTTAAGATCATTTTTTTGGGGAGGGATTATTACCCCAGGAAAAGCGATCTGCCAATCGGCTAACAACCGGGTTCCTAAATACTGCCGGTAAACAGAGGCGTGGGTGGGTGGGTGTGTGTGTGTGTGTATGTGTGTGGGTGGGTGGGTGGGGAGTAAGGAAACTTGTCTAAGGTTTTGTCCTACCCCGGGAATCGAAACTACATCTCTCACTTGCGAGGTGAGTGCTCTAAGCACTGAGCTACACCCAAACACCAGGGTGGCCACTAACCATCTTGGCATTGCAAATCCCGCTCTCGGCCAGCGTGTGGCGCTCCTCAACCAACCATTTTAGACCCCCCCCCCCCAACCCCACCACCACCGCTCCTCCAGGTCTGGTATTTGGCCTCCAAACCCTTCCTCGCAATCCAGAACAAGCGCTTTGGTTCGGGTGCTTTCTGTGTGCGCGCGGTTTCCTTGCTCAGTTAAAAGTAATAATATTCAATGAGATTTCCTGTTCCTTTTAAAGCGAACTCTTCCCTCCTCCTGCTCGCACAGCACAGGAAGCGCTAACCTCAGGCATTACTCTAAGCAGCCCCACGAGCTGATGGATGCTTCCTGTCATCGTCTAGCAAATAGATAAATCTAAACATAGCCCGACATTTATATATATAGATATACACAGGGCAGTCGCCAAACATCCGAGCAAACCGCCAGAACATACAGTGCCCTGAGTTTCTCCGCAGTCCCCCTACACCAACCACCGCCCTCTCCCCCACCTCCCTGCCCACACACCCCACCCGCCCCCCCCACCACCCCCTCCCCTTGGGAGGCCGTGGGAAGGGGGTTAGGTCCACCGTAATCCTTGCGTTTGATAAGGCGCCTCATCAAACGTCGTCGAGACGACTCAAAGTGCTTCACGGGATAGCTCGAGAGCGAGAGGACCTGTGTTCGATTCCGGTGCGGGATCAGAGTGAAACCTTAGGCAAGTTTCCTTACTCCCCCCACAAACACAGACACACACACACACACACACATACATACACACACAGGCCTCTGTTTAACCAGCAGTAAGTAGGAAACCGCTCGTTAGATGATTGTTGGAACACTTTGCGGGGGTAATAAACCCTTCGAAATAATAATAATTTGGTCACTTCAATCCACGACAGTTTGTGGGGCCGTCGCCGGGCGCGATCGGCTGCCGCGTTTGGCCCCCAAAACACACAGTCACTGCACTTTACAGTGCAACCTGCCCGTGAAGCTCTTTGAGACGTCTCGACTACATGATGAGGCGCTGGGTCAAATGTAAGGATTATTATTATTAACGTTACGCTGCTGCAAAGTGGAGTGACTGTGCGTTTTGGAAGGCAATTGGCTCAAATGGGCTGTGGGTGGTGGGAGGAAATGGGAAGAGGAAGGGGTTTGGGCGCCTGTCACGAGAACGTGCTCACCGTCCAGTCCACCGTGCTTCGAACTTCGCGGTCGGTGTCGTGCCACAAGGTGGCGGAGGGATTGGGCTGCGTTGCCAGGTGCTGGAGCCCAGACTTAGCGATAGCTTTCCTGAAAGAAAACAACAAAAAGCCATGACGTGGTCTGCTCTGAACATCTGCGACATGGGAAACACTTGAATACACTGTGACCCCCCCACCCCCCACACACAGCTCCCTCCCCTCCCCTCTCCCACCTCCCCCACCCCCCAACACACACACGCCCATCCACCCACACACACACATCAATCTCAGAGGTGAAGTCTTTGCTGTGAGCTTGACATGACTGTAACAGCCTCTGTGCCGGGCTCCATCACTGTAGTGGGGGGTGGGAGGAGGGGGGAGTGTTTTTTGGGGTCAGCCGGGTGTCTGACACGTGCGGAAACCCATCGCCCCGCTGACCGGGGGTGGGGGGGGGGGAAAGAATACGTACGATAGGAGTCGGTTCCACTCGGAGGGGTGAGCGTCGATGAGGGCTTCCTGCCAGATCGCCAGCGAGCTCCTCCGCAAGTGGTGAGGCACCACTTGTCCCCAGGAGGGGGTCCGGGCCCTGTGGAGACCCCAGGGGCTGGTGGCGGGCAGTGGGGGCCGGGAGGAGCTGGCGCGCCGGCTGATCTGCCGGTAGTTGCCGCGCAGCCCGACCACGGACCTCCCGAGGGTCACGCTCTCCACGGGGAGGAGGTGGGAGGAGGCGCGGCGCAGACACCGGGGGGCTCGCAGGAACCGCTTGGCATGGAGGCGGCGGAGGGGGACGTTCACCGCGACCGAGAGATCAGACACGCGCCCCTCCCCCTCGTCTTGCTCCTCCTCCTCCTCGTGCGCTGAGGCTTCACTCCAGCTGCCGCCACTGGCCGAGGTCTCGGCACGTTCCGGCTCGGCCCCGGTGGGATCTCCGTGGCGTTTCGGCTGGCCATCCTCGCCTTCCTCCTCCTCCTTCTCCTCCTCCCTCTCCCTCTCTCTCTCCCTCTCTTCCAACTCCTCCTCCTCGGTCATGCGGATCAGGCTGGCCAGGAGCATGGAGGGTCCCAGCAGGTGGGTGTCGATGGTCCGCGCTTTGCCGCTGGGCCGTCTGTTGACCGCGAACCTGGGGTTCAGGCCTGGCGTGGTGGTGCTGGACCTCCGGCGCCCGGCACGGACTCCGGCCCCGGCCCCGGCTGGCACGGCGTTCCCGACCCGGCCCGGGCAGGGCGGGGGCCCCGGGAGCTGAAGGCTGGAACGCCGTCGGTGAGCCAGTGTGGCCGAGGGCAACCCCACGCTGGAGCGGCGACGCACTTTGCTGGCCATCACCGCCGCTCGCCGGCAGCCATCGGCCGCACCGGGCCCCGGGGCCACCGGCTTCCTCCTAAAGTGTCTCTTGAAAAAGGTCTCCATGGGTTTGCGGTTGTGTCTGTGTCGGGGGTCGGGGGGGTTCGGGGATCAGGGGAAGGGGGGGGAGGGGCTGCCGGCCTCACTCGCTCTCTGTTGAAGGTAGAGAACGAGGAATCAGAACTTCAGCTCATCCCCCAGCAGCGACCAGTCCTGAGTAATAACACTGCCCTGAGTAATAACACTGTCCTGAGTAATAACACTGCCCTGAGTAATAACACTGCCCTGAGTAATAACACTGCACTGATTAATAACACAGCCCTGAGTAATAACACAGCCCTCAGTAATAATACAACTCTGAGTAATAACACAGCCTCAGTAATAATACAACTCTGAGTAATAACACAGCCCTGAGTAATAACACGGCCCTAGGTAATAATATAATCCTGAGTAACAATACACCCCCCCAGGTAATACCACTGCCCCTGAGTAATGATACAGCCCATGAGTAATACCATTGCCTTAGTAATATCACAGCCTCTCCAAAGTAATAATACAGCCCCTCCGTGTAATCACACAACTCTCTGAAGTGATAATAATTATTACCTCCCTCGAGTATCATTACTGCCCCGAGTAGTAATACAGCACTGATGGATAATTACAACATTGATTACAGCAGTCAATAATACTACACCATTGAATAATACTACACCAGTCAATAATACTACACCATTTACAACAGTAACTAATACTACAGATACACATCTTTTGTGCGCCTTTAGTACTCACTGCAACAATACAAAGGTGTCTCCACTATTGAAACGCTCGCTGTGGCGCTGTTCATTCTCACTGCCGACTGCGATCAGATCAACATCTTCCAAACGCACAGGTTACCAGGCGCTGGGTGACTGGCACCCGGTCCAGCCAGGCGCAGGGTGACTGGCACCCAGTCCAGCCAGGCGCGGGGTGACTGGCACCCGGTCCAGCCAGGCGCAGGGTGACTGGCACCCAGTCCAGCCAGGCGCAGGGTGACTAGCACCCAGTCCAGCCAGGCGCGGGGTGACTGGCACCCAGTCCAGCCAGGCGTGGGTGACTGGCACCCAGTCCAGCCAGGCGCAGGGTGACTGGCACCCAGTCCAGCCAGACGCAGGGTGACTGGGACCCAGTCCAACCAAGCCCACCCTGACCCTCACCCCTCACCCCCAAAGGGGACGTCACTCGTACATACACAGCGCCTCTCAACAACAACCTGCATTTATAAAACATCCTCACGTGGAGCAGCGTTTTGGAGCCTTTGACAGTGGCAGAGTCTGACACTGAGTCGGGGTGGGGGGGGGGGGGATGGGGGAGGAGGTGACGGTAAGCTCGGGCGAAGAGGAGGGTCTTCCGTCACAATGTAACAGGCGTAGGAGGGGGCGACGCTCCGTCTCTGACGCAGAAGCCGATCGCAAAATTATTATTACAAAATGTGATATTGATCAGGACCGCAGTAATGTGAGCAGCCGGTCACTGGCATTGGGGAAAATCTGGGGTGTGGGGGGAGGAGGGGGGGGAGAGCACGGCATTGTCAGAGCCAACATCCTACACCATGAGGAATAATACAATCCTGAGTAATAATACAACTCCGAGCAACAATATAACCAGCTTCCCGGCAGCGAGCGCGGGGTGAAGAAGCCCGACGTGGCTACCAGAGCGTGAGTGGGCGTTAGTTTGACGGCTGAGAATGGAAAGGTCACCTTTGTGGATCGACGATCGGCCCAGAATAGCTCTGCGTGTAATGTGACCCCAGAGGACAGCACTCACAGCCGCCACAACAGTGCCTGCAGACACACCAGACAATGATCGATGGCTGCCCGCGAGGTTAGGCCCAATTAGATTGAATCACGTTCTTCAGCGCGAGATCCAGAGTTGCCCCCAGATATCCCTTTCCCCGCCCATAACCCGTGGAGTCCCGTCGTCCAGTGGCCAAGAGCATTCACCTCGCAGGAGCGAGGATCCAGACAGGGCGCAACATTACTTTACGCGGCCTCTGTTCGGCTACAGCAAATAGGAACTCGTTCGTTCGTCGATTGACGCTTTCCGGGGCTAATAATCCCTTCCCCCTCAACAAAACATTTGTTCGCTCGATCCACGACGGGTTGCGGGACGCCGTTGTGCGCAATTGGCTGCCGCGTTTCGCCCACAAAGTACACACCTTAGCAACACATCCTGTGCAGCGCTTTGAGACGTCGCGACAACGTGATAAGTCGCTGTCTGAAACGCAAGGATTGTTATAACAACAGCAATAATTTGCTATACCGCCTTATCACGCCTTCCAGATGTCTCAAAGCCCTTCATGGAATAAAGTGAATCGACTTGTGTATTTTGTGGGCGAAAGACCCACAAACCATGATTGTATTTGTATGATTATACTATTATAATCTAGATCCTCAATCCTCAAAGGACCACAAGGTTCCTGATTCCTTTCCGCACGACAGCCCGAGCAAGTCAGGCGACCGAATGGCCTCTCTCTGGCCTGGGCGAGTCCGGCCTGAGCCTGGTGACCCAGCCATCGGGCGAGCTCTCGAATTCTGCCTTTTCCTTTCCTCTCTCTCTCTCTCTCTGAGATCGGATCAAACTCCTCAGATTGGTGTCCCCGCAATCCCCGTCCCAGCCGCCAGAGAGCGAGGGCATTGCTCTCCGGACTGTGGCCCTTCCAGTCGGAATGAACCGCGGGCAAAGGCGGCTCTGAACATGACCGAGGGAGAGCAACCAGTGACTGGCGACAACAGAGACCGCACTTGATCTTAGCCAAAGCCTCGCACCCTTTCTACTGCCCACCCACCGCTGTAGATTTCCTGGAGGGTGGAAAATAGCCCCCACCCCGCCTCCGCACTGAAGAGGAATTAGAATCATTGGACCTAACAGCACAGAAGGAGGCCATTCGGCCCATCATGCCAGTTCCGGCTCTTTGAAAGAGTTCTCTGTAATGCCTCAAAACTCATCAAATAATCTCTAACTCCTCCTCACTACCCCCTCCACCCCCCCCCCACCCCCCACATACATACACACATACACACAAACACATACATAAATACATATACAAAGACACATGTATACACACAAACACACATACACAGACCGCACACATACATACACACGCGCGCAAGAGACAAACAAGAGACACAGAGATAGACACGCGCAAACACAAAGATACAGACACACACAGAAAGGCACACAGACACACACACATGCGGGCACACACCTAGACACACACACACACACATGCGGGCACACACCTAGACACACACACACAGCTACACACAGACACCCAATTTCCAGTTGGCTACTCCTGATTGTATGCTCCCCCCACCCCACCCTGTTGCGGCGCTGAGAGCAGTCATTCGACACGGCTTATCAACACGGCATCAAACCGTCTGGGATTTCTTCCTGTGGCCCTGCTCATTGCTTACTCTTCATATTTATTGTTGATGTCGGCATCTGACACAGTGAGAAACCCATCGCTGTGGTGAAGAAGCTTCGAAACCAAACCACCGAGTTCCTCAAACTCATGGTTTCTCTTTGTCTGTCCAGCGCCTTGAGACATCCTCCCCACTAGAAAGGCGCTGTACAAGTGTAATTGTGTACTGTATTGTCTGGGATGGAACCTACTCTGTCTGCCCAAACCACCTGAGGGACACACCCTGCTTCAGTAATTCGCTTTACAGTGCGCTTTGAGACGTCTCGAAGACGCGATGAGGCGCTAGATCGAATGCTGGGATTATTACT